CGTCAGGGTGGGATCCATGAAGAATGAGCTCGTGTATCGTCAGTCGGCCTTCTGTTCACATTCATTAAGCCCAAAATTATGAATTAAAAAAAAAAACCCTGCAGTTTCTTAACCGTAACCCTATCCGTATGTCGTGTTTTACTATAGTATCCATACGACTTTGGAAACTCTGTGCCACCACTTAACCCCATCTGTACAACGTGTATTACTATCGTATCCATACGACATGGGGAACTCTGTGCCACCACTTTCCAAAGAGGAAATTTACTCGTTAATCCGATCCGTACGCTTTGCTTAGCAGTCTGTCAAAATGATTTTTTGAGAATTAATAATGAAAGTTTCCAAGGGATCTTAGTACTAGAAGCATTCTAAAATGTGAAGAATACAACCCCGGGGGGTACAAAATGAACCCAGGGCGTACGGATCTGGATAGGTTTAATCAGTGGTATGGGTTGAATGTACTGAATAATTTTTTGCTGTAAATCTCAATCAATTTCTAAATGTTGAAAAAAGTAAGGAGATATACATTGTCATTAGCCTGATGAAGGTAGAGCTATAATCCCTCTAAAGGAACGAAAAAGTTTTCTGTTTTTCTATTGGCTGAGAAATGTTTCTTTCTGAGCTCAGTACATGTAAACAGCTTGCTGACTTTCTGCTGGTTTTTATGTAAATAAATTGTAGGAAAAAATCCTTCTCTTCTGCTTGTTGTGTAATGAGATATTCACTTTGGGTATTCTTAAGTCTCATCTTGTTTGGTGTTTTTCCGAATCCATACTCTTCTACAATTTCTCTCATACAAAAATATCCACAGGAGAGAAAAGTGACCTTGAAAAATCGGGGTGGCAATGAGGCGGGGGTTCAGTCAATATACATGACAAAGTATTTATGAGATAGATCGGCGTCTGTGGTGTTCTGGTTTGGGAATTTGCTGATGCCCGCAGGAGATCCCAGTTTGATTTCCAAATGGGGACAATTTTTGTCAAGTATCTTGGTCTTTCTGCTGGGATATTGAATCCCTTTCCATCCAGACAGGCAGGTTCCTCCCCCCCCCTCCCCAACCAGGGCAGTGCTTCTGACTGAAGTGTCTTTGGTAGGCCATTCCCAAAGGGGAGATATTAACATGTTCTTATGCAAAGTAGTGTTGTAAATTACCTGATTTAGCAATGTCATGCTCATCATATTGTTCCGGAACAACATAGTCTCTGTCATATGAACTACTATTTCCAGGGTGCCTTGATAGTCAAAGCAGACTTTTTGTACACTAAAACAAAAACCAAAGACGGGCAGGGTGAGAAAGCCGCCTCCTAAATGATCGAAATGGTGTAGGGGAGGGTGTTCAAACACCCAGGCCTAACATAAAGACTCCTTCTTTCCTATCAAACATCTATCGTCCTGATCTCTCCTTCTTTCTTATCAAACATCTATCGTCCTGGTCTCTCCTTCTTTTTTGTGTGTTTGTGACTCTCTTGTAACAGCTCTTCTAATGTTCAGCACAAATACGGTATGACCTTATTGTGTTGCAAGTGCTGTAAAACACCTTCTAAAACTAAAAACATACTACAGTATCCTACAAACCATGAACATTTATTAGTATTATTGACTATTGTTCCAGTCTTTTCCCGTCACCTATCTGTTCAGTTCACAATTCACAGCATGTGGTTGGAGGATGCCACTGGTAGGTCCTACTTCTTTCCTAAATGTTTAAAGTTTTACTTTGTCTTTTAGTAAGGTTTTACGGCGCTCGCAACTGCATAAAAAATTATGGTCATATCAGCGCCAAGAGGTCGATGTCAACAGAGAAGTCCAAACGGGGAATCTGGCTTACTCTACTCACCTCTCTAGCCTCAACAGCACAAAGTCTGCTTCGACTATCAAGGCACCCCGGAAATAGCAGTTCATAAGAGAGGGACAAACATACAAAAGAAGTAGAGGAAAAATGACGATAGTTAGGATGAGGAAAGAGAAAGCAGCAGTTCCCCCTATGTTGTTCCAACATAGTAGACCTACATGCAGTGGAATCCTGTTATAACGACAGGGAGGGGACCGGTGCAAAATGTCCGTTTTTTATAGCAGGATTCTCGCTATAAGGGATCCAGTAATAAATTCAAGGGAAACTGTAAAGTAGGCCTAATCTATGAGTCTGGTGTTCTGTTTTTTCTTTTTGCTATCTCCCCTGATGATGATTTTGTTTCAAGGTGACCTCTAGGTCTTACTTGATAAAAAATCGAATCAGGTTTCTTTTATAATAGACTTCTCGTTATTTCCGGACTCGTTGTAAAGGGACTCCTTTGTATTATGTATGAGCATGACGTTGATAAATCAGCCCTTTCTCAAATTCTACTGTGTATAGTGTAAGAACATGTTAATGTCCCCGCTTTGGGAAAAGCCTAAAGACACTTCAGTTAGTAACACTGCCCTGGGGGGGGGGGGTACTTCTTTCTTTTGCGTCTGTTGTTTCTGTCTGTCTGTCTTACTTTTTCCCAGCACTAAAAATGACATTGTACATTGTCGTGTCGATGTGCCTCTCTTTATTCAAGCAAACCTGGATCGATAACAACAACATAACAACATTTAAGCAAACCAGCACTAAAAATGACATTGTTCATTATTGTGTCAACGTGCCTGTCTTAATTCAAGCAAACTAACAAGCAAAACTCAAGTTCTCGACGTGAGTTATTCTTGGATTAAAGGCGCGAAGAAAGAGAAAAGTCCACAGCGCTCGTATGTCTGCACAGGCCAGGGAGTGAAAGATGGGCATTGTGTCCCTTAGAAATATATTGAGAAGAAAGATCTGGCCTGAGAGTGCCTTGAGAAAATACTACACGTATATATAATAACCAGGTTTGAGAAAGACACAGTTTTAATTAATATTGCACATTCAGAAAAGGACCTTCAGCTGCTTCTGGAAATACCCGGTAATGTTGAAGTGGGTGGTGAACATAAGGGGGATGTAAAAATAGGAAGAAAACAGAATGCACGGTAATATTTTTTTACAATCCAAACAAAACGGTAGACCTAGATTCTAAATGAATTTGTAATCACATGAAAAGATAAATATATCGCTATACAATCTTTGAACAGTTTTTTTTTTAAATCAGCAAATAGAAATAAAAGAACAATAGATGTAATGTCATATCCTGTCATCCACTCTTATCCTTACAAACATCAAATTTAATATACATGATAATGATTGATATATATATCTGAAACGTTTACGGGTAAAAAAAGCCAACACACTTTACTGTTACGTCAACACTGTTAGGGTATTTAAGAGACGTGATCTCTGAATGTAATGTCCCTATCACTATCTGACAGGACTAAGCCAAATGAGCTGAGAGTCTTCCAAACTTTCTAAAACAACCAAGTTCCAGAACATCCAGTTTTGGATTCGAATCAGGGCCACCTGCTCCCCAGTCCAGCATGATACCAACCAACTGGGCTGATGACTGATGGTTGCTGAAATGTTAAGTATCCTACCCTGATGAGAGAGAGAGAGAGAGAGAGAGAGCAGATAACTACAGTGGAACTCGGATTCAACGAAAGGAGATGGATTCCCCGTTTTTTCTTCTTTAAAATAAAAACATAACCCGGATTCAACGAACACTTATAATTATATCAGCGAGTTCGGATTCAACGAGATCGCTTCCAGGGTGAATAGTCCAAGCAGACGTGGCTTTGCTCGTTTTTTTCCCACAATGAACTTTATCTATTCCCGGAACCCATCAATTGCACCTACATCGAGAACTCACTTAGCCGATTGCATGCGACCAATCAACGGCCTTTTTTCATACCAACACATGCGTTGTTAGCACGCACACGTGTCAACTGTAGCGTGTGTCGGGGTCGGACGGGCGGCCTGCACACGAGAGAGCAGACAGCTATCAATCCTGTGACGTTATAAAAGCCTCTGTGATACATCTACAACACAGAAGCCCTGTCCACCATCCTTTACACTTGTTGCAATGCTCTTCTTTAGTAAGTGTCTGTCTTTCCTGTCTCCACAAACTTTACACTTGTTGCATGCAATAATTAATTAATAAACACTCTGAATTGGAATTTTGTATTGTTTGTATTTGTTGGTGGTTTGGGGGGGGGGGGGGGGGGGGTACACGCAGCATGCATGTGTGTGCATGAATTTACGAAAGTAAACATTGTAGTGCCGACATATTGTGTAATTTTCTTTGGTGTAAGCCCATAGTGGGTAAAGTGTGTAATAGGCCATTTACTGCCTAAACTTCCAATATTTTAAAAATTTGATGTGTATTTTGGTAAATACCAATTTTAATGTAGCCTATGCCAAAGAAACAAGTTCCAACCATAGCTGTACACTGACTCTATGGTTCCAACAGACGGGAGAGTGCATGAACTTCTCTGAAATACACAGGAAGATGTCTGGACATCGTTGGAAGGAACTCTACAAGCTTACACGGAGATCTGGGGTGCAGGGAGATGTCGCTGTCTCCAAATGAGCAATTAGTAGGCCTGGCCAGATCTACTGCAAATAATTTATTTTACATTTAGTTTAGTGTGTAACTCGTAACATGTACTCTAGATCTATGCATAAAAAACAGAAAAACTGAATCAATTAGGGTTCAAGAAAAAAATATGTCGCTGGCCTACAGGGGCACCCTCCAAAGCTTCGTACACATTTTGTAAATTAAATTTAATGAGCTAAAGAATTGTTATAACGAACGCGGACAGACGAAAGTGAACAAGTTATAAACGCGATAAGTCTCTTAGACCCCTTATTGTCCTTCCGGTCTCTACTATACTGCTGAAACTGTTCTAAAGCTCTTCACTCCTCATACTTGTTTGATCGTTCATGACGTCCTTTTTTATAAACAAAATGAACGCCTTGTTTGTAATGTATGCTTGAACTTGAATGAACAGCTGTAGCTGTGGCTGTTGCATCCTTCTTGGAACATTAAATGAATATATTTGACCTTTCCTCCTGATGGCAACGTTTATTTGTTGATCAGAATAATTATGTGTGCAATTTGGAGATGCTGTCATGAAATATAAACGAAAAATGTATCAAAATCAAGTGAATTGAAAGGACAGAATGGGGCGCCGTTCCAACTTGGAAATTGAAAGGAAACCAACAAGACGAGTCGGCAGTCGGTGTGTTGTGGTCGAAGTTAGAATTAAGATAGAGATAAAGAAATAGGATCTAGATCTCGATACATTTTCATCGTGCCAGACCAGGCAGGTATAACTGAAATGTTTAAAAATTGCTGAGAAAGCTGTCTTAAATTATGATAATCGTTTTCTCGATGGACTTCATTTTCGTGTTGTGTGGTCTGAACTTCAGAGGTGAGCTCAGCTAGAAAAGTAAGACGTTACTACTGCTAGATCTAAGATCTAGAATCTAATGGAAGTGTCAACCTAGAAACCTTGACTTTGTGACTATTATGAAAAACAAAGATGGCGGATATTTTGTACCCTGGAAAACAAACAAACGCTAACTGTGAGGAAGAAGACATGACAATGTATAGATCTAGACTTTTCTCTGGAAATGATAATGGCTTTGGTGTAGAAACTTGTGATTTTGTTCCTTGTTCTTCTGGAGAAGGTGTGAATCTTGGGATTGATAGCATAGTTGTTAAAGGTGAACCTACGTCTAGTTCTGGGACTAGATCTAGTACGGGTACTCTTTGTCTTTGTACTAACAGTTTAAGGGAAGATGTAAAACATGACATTATAGGTAGGGAAAGTGAATCTGTGGGTGTTGATGAGAAAGATCTGTCAGTAAAAGAAGAGCCCAGTTTTGAATGTCCGTGTGACGTCAAGGCCGAGACAAATGACAAACTGAACGTTGAAAGTGAAAGTAGCCTGACTCTCAGACACAGTGTAGTGAAAGATGAGCCTATCTGTACAGAGGAGGAAGACGTGAAACCTGTCATTAAACCAGAGTGCCTCACAGATATCTGTACGGTGAAAACGGAACCACTATTTGGACATTTTCCTGACTTTGGTGATGAAGTGAAACCAAAAGTGGAGAATTTTGTGAAAGGAGAAGTGTCAGAATGGGAAGGTCCAGACTTTGGAGAGGTAGGAAAGACAGAAGGACAAGTGGGAGATGTGGAGGATATATATATGTGTGCTGAGCCCGTGTTTGTTGAGGATCACATGAATCAGGCTGGAGGACTACAGCTGAAAATCTCCAATGTGAGGAGCTTGTGTATGGAGCAGAGTGCCAGCCCTGACACTGATGTTGTTGCTTCCAGTAGTCCAACTTCAACTTTCTCTGCCGATCCAGTCACAAGTTCAGGATCTGTTGTCAGGGCCAGCTGGGATCACGGTGAAAGTTCTGGTACGTAGAATCCTTCTGTCTGTGGACTTTTCGATCCGATCCGATGTGTTTGCTTTTCCTGATGAAGTTTGTCAAGTTTTTAAATTATATTGTGCAATTCCATGACATGCCAGGTATATCATGCTGTTAAACTGGCATGACTAATTCATTGGGTCTAATGTTCATTGAATCTGAGCGTTTATTCATCATGACTTAAAAAAAAATAATTATGAATACCACAAAGAAACGTTTAAAAGTGTTTGAAAGTAGATCTGCTTTTATTAGATCAGAAAAAGCTGTAGTGGCAATGGAATTTGCTGTTGAAATAATTAAATTGGTGCTATCTCGTTATACCGCCAGCCCTGTTGTACCGCCAACTTCATGCTCATCCCAAGGTAGGCGGTATTTATTTTATAACAGGGTTTGACTTATACACTCACATTTTAAAATCCCCTTTAATTGACCTGATTCTCATCAGTCCCAGACCTTTTGCGTATCACTGTGAGCCCACAGAAGCCTTGTCGCCTGATAGATATATATATAAAACATAGACAAACTGAGGTGGCACAGTTCCTTTGAAGTTTCTCCAGACGTTTATTTACTTTATGGTTTAAGTTTGTGGACAGGAGAAAAGCAAATGGTTTGTGCCGTCGTTTTTTAAAATGGTAGTGAGGTACAACTACTGGTGGCTACAGCTTGGCATGGAGAGCTAAAGGCTGGACAATTTAGGCAAAATAAGATTATTACATATGATAATGTGTATAAATAGAATTGTAGTTTTGTGCTACGATAGAGATGTGCTGCACCATCTCCTTTGAAATTAAGAGAAAGTTTGTTTTTTTACAGTAAATGATTGTCAGTGTCATTAAACTCACTGTCCACTTCCTCATTCCATCACACGGTGACATGACAAGGCAAACTGTCTTTTCTTTGACTTTATGCCTGTACAACGCAGACGTGCTGACCACTTTTTTGTCATTCCTTTTGTGGGTCGGTGGAAAGAAATCACAGGTCTCCAACGTTTACGATTACAGAAAATAACCCAGTGTTCCTGTGGTTGTTGTGTGTTCCTTCTCTTGAAATGTAAAAAAATGACATGATGTTTGAGAAAAGGGACCAAAAGCACAAGTGGGATGAATGTGTAGACAGTCAGAATAAATTTTAGGCTTGTGTTTTAAGTGTGTAGGATAGCAGCCACATCTCATCTTGATCTTTTGTTTTCTGTGGTTAGATTCATTATAATATAATACCTTATTATACCTGTGTGTTGAATAAACTTGGTTAGATAACTTGTTCATGAAGTCTGTTATTTGTCTTCTTCCTGATATTTCATCTTACCGTCAGGGTTAGATAACTTGTCCATTATTTGTCTTCTTCCAGATGTTTCATTTTACTGTCAGGGTTAGATAACTTGTCCATTATTTGTCTTCTTCCAGATGTCTCGACTTCCCCTCATAGGCCACTGACTTCCTGTCACTCGGTACAACAGACGAGTGATATGCAGAGAAGACAAGGTCAAAGTTCAAGCTGCAGATTTCAGACAGGACAAAGGGTTTATGAAGAGAATGTTGGCAGTGTCAGGAGAGAAACCTCTTCTGGTGACATCGGTGCTGTGGAGAGAGTCTGTGACCTCCATCAGAACATAGCAGGTAACAAGCAGATGGACAACAGAAATCTCTACCATGGTCAGGAAAAACCTCATGAGTGTAAAGTCTGTGGTGAAATGTTTTCAGAAGTAGGTAACTTTCAGACACACGAAAAAAACCACACAAGAGATAGGCCTCACCAGTCTGAAGTTTGTGGTGCTGCATTTACCAAGAGCAGACATCTACAGGATCACAAAGGAACACACACAGGAGAAAAACCTTACAAGTGTGAAGTTTGTGGTGCCACATTTACATGTGTCAGAAATCTACAGCGTCACAAAAGAATACACACAGGAGAAAAACCTTACAAGTGTGAAGTTTGTGGTGCCACGTTTACACGTGATAGCCATCTACAGGATCACAAAAAAAAACATACAGGTGAAAAACCTTACAAGTGTGAAGTTTGTGGTGCCGCATTTACATGTGGCGGAAACCTACAGAAACACAAGAGAACCCACGCAAGAGAAACACCTTACAAATGTGAAGTTTGTGGTGCCACTTTTACACATGGTAGCAGTCTACAGCGTCACAAAAGAAGAACACATTAAGGAGAAAAACCTTACAAGTGTGAAGTTTGAGGTGCCACGTTTACACGTGGTAGCAGTCTACAGCGTCACAAAAGAACACACACAGGAGAAAGACTTTACACTGTGTGAAATTTGTGGTGCCAGGTTTACATAAAGAGACCATTTAATTCTATGGAGACGCAAAAGAACACACGTGAGAAAAAAAATGTATCAGGTATTTTGGGACATACTCTTTGTGGTCCACACGATGACTGAAGGGTAAAAAATGATCTATCTAAAGAAGGCCAGATACAGGTGTGAAAGAAGGAGCAAACTACACTAGAACATCCGCGAATCATCCATAATTTATCTCTGACTGAAATTTGAGATAGTGTTTTAATACTTTTATTGGATGGCATAGGGTGTAGCGAAGCGAAAGGAGACGTCCCGGAGAAATTTGGACACGATGGAATCAGGTCCTCGTCAATTTCTGGGCCTACCACTTTATTGGTATCATCTTCAGCCTGTTCATTTGTCTTGCTTTTGGTGAAAAAAATACTTATCCATTTTGAAAAGGAGTTGACATTTTTGGGATTGAAGGAAGTTGGAGTGGACCAGTCTGGGAGGTAAAAATTAATGAGAAAATAGTCGCCGAAATTGAATGACTTTAAAACTTGAGTTTCTTGGAAACTGCAATTTTCCTTCACTTTTCTTTTAAAAAAATTTTTTTTTTTACTGTCTTTAATCAAAGTTTCTCAGTCAAATCCGCACAAAAATGTGTTTTTAAATGGACCAGAAAGGCTTTGAGCCCAAAAGAAAAAGTTGTTGAGAATTACTCAATGGGTCTGTTTCTCTGATTTCATTATTTTGACAAGTGCCGGATTGCGGCACGATTTCTCACATCCAGGTGTAAAGTTTGTGGTACCTGGTACTAGTGGTACCGTACATGCCCATTGATTCTAGTGAAGATCATTGCAACAAGTGTAAAGTTTATGGAGACAGGAAAGACAGACACTTACTAAAGAAGAGCTTTGCAACAAGTGTAAAGGATGGTGAACAGGGCTTCTGTGTTGTAATTGTAGGTATCACAGGGGCTTTTACAACGTCACATGATAGTTGTCTGCTCTCTCTCTCTCTCTCTCTCTCCCTCCCTCCCCCCTCTCTCTCTCTTTTTTTCTCTCTCTCCCTCTCTCATTCGGGTAGGATACCTAACATTACAGCAACCATCAGCCTTGTTGGTTGGTATAGTCTATGCCGGCTTTAAGCACAGTCATCGGGAGAAAGCAAGCGTGCCTGAGTGCGAAGTGGACTTAATCCAGAGATTTTTATACAGAACATTTCCAGAGCTATTTCCCTTTGTTCGCAAGTAGTGGTCGCGCAAAAGTGCACTGTCATTTTTTACTCGCCGTGGTAGTTTTTGTTTGTTTGTTTTGTTTTGTGGTCGAATGGGATAGGAAAACTTAATTTAGACGGCCAGTCACGATACAGCACACTAGCCCTACACACTGTCTGTGCGTACCACTGCCCGCTGTGCCACATTCATACCACCGCCTCATCTCACCTCGGGCGTGATACATAATCAGCTACCCCCCCCCCCCCCAGGGGTGGTGCCACTGTCTGAAGTGTCTTTAGGCCATTCCCAAACGGGGGACATTTCTCGTTCTAATGCACAGTAGAACGGTAAAATGGGCTGACCCAACAATGTCAAGCTCATAACTGTGCCTTAACTACAACAGGGAACTGCTGCTTTTTCTTTCCTAATCCTTACTATCGTCATTTTCCACTACTTCCTTTGTATGTTTGTGTGCACACTCTTGTGACCCTCTATTTCCGGGGTTCCTTGATAGTCGAAGCAGACTTTGTGCTGTTGAAGCTAGAGAGGTGAGCAGAGTAAGTCTGATTCCCTGTGTATAGACTTCTCTGTTGACATCCACCCCTTGGTGCTCATATGACCTTATGCAGTTGCGAGCGCCGTAAAACCTCTAATAAAACTGACATACATAATCAGGATTATCGGATAGTGATAACGAGGGGCAAAGGTGAAATCGCAACCAGCCTCCCTCTCTCGTCTTCTCGTATTTTTTTCATCTGTGTGTAGCTTTGCCCTAGGCTAGATCCTATGTCCACGAGCTGTGTGCGTCTCTCTGCCTTCCTCTCCACGCGCACGTGTGTGTGTGTGTGTGTGTGTGCGTCCATCACTTGTGTTCCTTTTAACACACTCACTGCTGCAGTGTAGACTGTGTTCGAACTTCGATGGGTCATTATGAAAGTATTGACTGTTTTGTAAATGAAGCATGCCCGAAGCCGAAGTTATCGAGCTTAATGAATTAGACGCGGGTACCATAATTTATATAAATGGCAAAAATTTGGTAAGAGCCGTTTAGCGTACTTGAGTCCGAAACGTGTTTTCTGCCGGCGTGTCTGAAGCCAGCACAGACTATATCATGCTGGGCTAGGGAGTGGGTGGCCCTGGTTCGAATCCAAGACGGGATGTTCTGGAACTTGGTTGTTTTAGGAAGTTTGGAAGACTCTCAGCTCATTTGGCTTAGTCCTGTCAGATAGGGACATTACATTCGGAGATCACGTCTAATACCCTAACAGTGTTGATGCAACAGTAAATATATCATGTATATTAAATGTGATGTTTGTAAGGATGAGAGTGGATGACAGGATAGGACATTAGATCTATTTTTCTTTTATTTCTATTATATTGGTGAATTTTAAAAAACTGTTCAAAGATTGTACATGTATTGCCATATTTATCTTTCCATGTGATTACGATTTAATTTAGAATCTAGATCTATTGTTTGGATACAAAAAAGATATTACCGTGCATTCTGTTTACTTCCTATTTTATATCCCCTTATGTTCACCACCCACTTCAACACTATTTCCAGAAGCATCTCAAGGCTCAAGGTCCTTTTCTGAATATGCAATATTAATTAAAACTGTCTCAATCAATGCACTCTGAGACCAGATCTTTCTTCTCAATACAGTGGAGTCCACTTATAACGAGTCCTGAAATAACGAGAAGTCTGTTATAAAGACACTAATCTAAAACCCCGTTTTTTTCCTTCTTTATCTTTGTGAATATAATACTGCTATTTCGCAATCAGACCGCCATGCGAGTCCGTTATAACGGAATATTGCTGCTGCTGTGCACAGCGCACAGACCAATTCAACATAATAAAACCTCGTCAGTTGAGAAAGTTGTTGGTGATCTTGCGAAACAAAGAATGGGAGAGCCCATGCGAACCAACAATGAAGGTTCCTTTTGTCCCATTTTGAGGAGTCTCATAAATTAAAACAATTTTATGTGAATGACAGAACAATAAGTTAATTTTTTCCACCCAAAGTAAAATTGTGAGGCAGCGCGGTGGAATCAGGCTCTCGTCAAAATAATTAAAGTGAAGAAACTTGCATTTTTCTGCAGGTTTGTGAATTTCTATCAAATTTTTGTTTTTTGCCTCAACACCTTTCATGCCCATTAAAGAACTCATTTCTGTGTGGATTTTTCTGAAAAACCTTGATTAAAGGCACAAAAAAAAGTAAATTTTCAGTTACCACGGACTCTTAAGCTAAGGAAATAACTAATCTTTGGCTGCCATTTTCTCTCTAATTTTACCTCTGAAAACAAGTGACCCCCAACTCCTTCTTTTGCAAATATCTCGACTTGTATTCAAGATAAATGGATATTTTCTTCTTTCAAATAAAGACAAGTGAACAAGCTTTAAGATGATACCAATAACTCTACATGCTCAAAAATTGACGAGAGCCTGATTCTACCACACTACCTCACAATTTGTCTTAACGGTTATGAACAAAACCTTATTCCATGTAATTTACAGTTGTTTTGGGATGTATTTTTTATTTTAACCCAAGTAAAGGACGTAATAGACCTTGCTTACATTCTGATATTTTGATTTTTATCATTAAGTGTATGGGTGTGGATTTTAATCAGTATTATACTTTTGTAGTAATGGTTATGAACAAACTATTTATTGTCCATTTCATCCTATATTTTGAGGGCTTTTCAGTGTTAACAAACTTTAAAAACATGTACAGAGATAACATATTATGAGGAGAGTTTCATTTAATAAAAGTTTTAAAAAATGAATGAGACCAATGAGAGTTATTACATAAAGTTGATTTTAGACCTTATTTGTTACACCCGGGTATCCCACCTTTTGGCAAATACTCTGTGTTATGAAGTTTGAAAGACTCTCAGCTCATTTGGCTTAGTCCTGTCAGATAGGGACATTACATTTGGAGATCATGTCTCTTAAATACCGTAACAGTGTTCATGTAACAGTAAATATATCGTGTACATTAAATGTGATGTTTGTAAGGATGAGAGTGGATGACAGGATATGACATTACATCTATTGTTCTTTTATTTCTATTATATTGGTGAATTTTAAAAAACTGTTCAAAGATTGTACATGTATTGCAATTATTTGTCTTTCATGTGATTACGATTTAATTTAGATCTGTTGTTTGGATACAAAAAAGATATTACCGTGCATTCTGTTTACTTCCTATTTTATATCCCCTTATTTCACCACCCACTTCAACATTACCGGGTATTTCCAGAAGCAGCTGAAGGTCCTTTTCTGAATGTGCGATATTAATTAAAACTGTGTCATTGGCATACCTGGTTATTATATATATTACGAGTTGTATTTTCTCAATCAATGCACTCTCAGACCAGATCTTTCTTCTCAATAATATATTTCTAAGGGACACAATGCCCATCTTTCACTCCCTGGCCTGTGCAGACATACGAGCGCTGTGGACTTTTCTCTTTCTTCGCGCCTTTGATCCAAGAATAACTCACGTCGAGAACTTGAGTTTTGCTTGTTTGCTTGGATAAAGACAGGCACGAGGACACAATAATGAACAATGTCATTTTTAGTGGGTTTTTTGTTGAATAAAGAGAGGCACGTTGACACAATAATGAACAATGTCATTTTTAGTGCTGGGAAAAAGTAAGACAGACAGACAGAAACAACAGAGTCAAAGAAAAGAAGTATCCCCCCCCCCCCCCCCCCCCCCCCGGCGGTGCCACTGACCGAAGTGTCTTTAGGCCATTCCCAAAGGGGGAAATTAACATGTTCTTATACACAGTAGAATTTGTGAATGGGCAGATTTATCAATGTCATGCTCACACATGACTGTCTTGGAACAACATAGGGGGAACTGCTGCTTTTTCTTTCCCCATCCTTACTATCGGAATTTTCCTCCACTTCTTTTGTATGTTTGTCTCTCTTTTGTGAACTGCTATTTCTGGGATGCCTTGATAGTCGAAGCAGACTTTGTGCTATTGAGGCTAGGGAGGTGAGTAGAGTAAGCCTGATTCCCCGTTTTGACTTCTCTGTTGACATCCATCCCTTGGTGCTCACATGACCTTATGCAGTTGCGAGCGCTGTAAAACCCTTAAACTGAAAGTAAAACTCTTAAAAAACTAAGAAAAGAAGTAGGACCTACCAGAGGCATCCTCCAACCACATGCTGTGAATTGTGAACTGAACAGAAAGGTGACGGGAAAAGACTGAAATAATAGTCAATAATACTAATATGTTCACGGTTTGTAGGATAGTATGTTTTTAGTTTTAGGCGGTGTTTTACAGCACTTGCGACACAATAATGTCATACTGTATATTTGAGCTGAACATAAGAAGAGCTGTTACAAGAGAGTCACAAACACACAAAAAAAAAGAGACCAGGACGATAGATGTTTGGTGGGAAAGAAGGAGAGATCAGGACGATAGACGTTTGATAGGAAAGAAGGAGAGATCAGGACGATAGACGTTTGATAGGAAAGGAGAGATCAGGACGATAGACGTTTGATAGGAAAGAAGGAGAGATCAGGACGATAGATGTTTGATAGGAAAGAAGGAGAGATCAGGACGATAGATGTTTGATAGGAAAGAAGGAGAGATCAGGACGATAGATGTTTGATAGGAAAGAAGGAGTCTTTATGTTAGGCCTGGATGTTTGAACACCCTCCCCAACACCATTTCGATCAGTAAGCTGTCCCTGTCGTTTTATGTAAGAAAAATTCTGAAATTATGCAAACAGCCTAAAAATGTGAAATTATGCGATTCTGTTAATTGAAAAAAAAAGATTGATAAAGGAAAAAATTGGAAATTATGCAAAAAATTATCAAGTTTTGCTAAATTATGGCGGGTGCATAAAAATAAAACCACGGGACAGATTTAGGAGGCGGCTTTCTCACCCTGCCTGTCTTTTGGTTTTGTTGTAGTAAGAGTTTTACGGCACTTGGAACACAATAAGGTCATATAAGTGCTGAAATAGATAATGTGTTACAAGAGAGTAAACATACACAAAATAGAAGGAGGGGAGAGAAGGAAAACAGATGTTTGATAGGAAAGGAGCAAACCACACCAGAGCACCCGCCAACCACCCACTTTTGTTTTTTGTTTCAGTGTACAAAGTCTGCTTCGACTACTCTCAAGGCACCCCGGAAATAGCAGTTCATAAGAGAGAGACAAAACATACAAAAGAAGTAGAGGCAAAATGACGATATGATACTACGGATGGGGAAAGAAAAACCAGCAGTTCCCTCTATGTTGTTTCGGCACAGTATGAGCATGACATTTATAGATCAGCCCATTTACAATTCTACTGTGCCTAAGAACATGTTAATATCTCCCCTTTGGGAATGGCCTATTTAAAGACACTTCAGTCAGAAGCACCACCCTGGTTGGGGAGGGGGGGGGAGGAACCTGCCTGTCTGGATGGAAAGGGATACAATATCCCAGCAGAAAGACCAAGATACTTGACAAAAATTGTCCTCATTTGGAAATCAAACTGGGATCTCCTGCGGGCATCAGAAAAGCCCCTAACCAGAACACCACAGACGCCGATCTATCTCATAAATACTTTGTCATGTATATTGACTGAACCCCCGCCTCACTGCCACCCCGATCTATCTCATAAATACTTTGTCATGTATATTGACCAAACCCCCGCTTACTGCCACCCCGATTTTTTAAGGTCACTTCTCTCTCAGTCTCTGTGGATATTTTTGTATGAGAGAAAACGTAGAAGAGTATGGATTAAGAAAAACACCAAACAAGATGAGAATTAAAAATACCCAAAGTGAATATCTCATTACACAACAAGCAGAAGAGAAGGATTTTTTCCCACAATTTATTTACATAAAAACCAGCAGAAAGTCAGCAAGCTGTTCACATGTACTGAGCCCAGAAAGAAACATTTCTCAGCCAATAGAAAAACAGAAAACTGTTTCGTTCCTTTAGAGGGATTTTACCTTCATCAGGCTAATGACAATGTATATCTCCTTACTTTTTTCAACATTTAGAAATTGAATGAGATTTACAGCAAAAAAATTATTCAGTACATTCAACCCATACCACTGATTTAACCCTATCCGTACGCCCTGGGGTCATTTTGTACCCCCCGGGGTTGTATTCTTCACATTTTAGAATGCTTCTAGTACGAAGATCTCTTCGAAACGTTTCAGTATTAATTCTCAAAAAATCATTCTGACCGACTGCTGTGCAAAGCGTACGGATCGGATTAACGAGTAAATTTCCTCTTTGGAAAGTGGTGGCACAGAGTTCCCCACATTGTATGGATACGATAGTAAAACTTGACTTACGGATAGGGTTAAGAAACTGCAATTTTTTTTTTTTTAATTAAAAATTTTGGGCTTAATGAATGTGAACAGAAGGCTGACTGATGATACACGAGCTCATTCTTCATGGATCCCACCCTGACGATACACGAGCTCATTCTTCATGGATCCCACCCTGACGATACACGAGCTCATTCTTCATGGATCCCAGCCTGACGATACACGAGCTCATTCTTCATGGACCCCACCCTGACGATACACAAGCTCATTCTTCACGGATCCCACCCTGACGATACACGAGCTCATTCTTCACGGATCCCACCCTGACGATACACGAGCTCATTCTTCACGGATCCCACCCTGACGATACACGAGCTCATTCTTCACGGATCCCACCCTGACGATACACGAGCTCATTCTTCATGGATCCCACCCTGACGATACACGAGCTCATTCTTCACGGATCCCACCCTGACGATACACAAGCTCATTCTTCACGGATCCCACCCTGACGATACACGAGCTCATTCTTCATGGATCCCACCCTGACGATACACGAGCTCATTCTTCACGGATCCCACCCTGACGATACACGAGCTCATTCTTCACGGATCCCACCAAAGTCTATTTGCTCTTTTTCCCCTTGCCCTTGGACTTGGCAAACAGCCACGGATCAATCTCCTCTGTGGACAAACCGCGCACGGAGAAAAGCCTGGCCGCCCGTTCCTCCAGTGTGCCCCCACACTTGATCCCTCGCGACATGAGAGCACATTTCAGACGCTCCAGACCCAACGCTGCCAGCTCCTTCTCGCTGGCGTAAAGTTCAAGGTCAACAGGTGTGTTGGGGTCAATCGCTTCCGCGGAGTCACCAACGGCAGCGGACGAGGCGAGGTCGTCGGGTTTTCTATCGGCAACATTGGGGGAGGAGGACGGTGGGGGTAACTGGGACAGAAGAGAGTGGGGGTGTGGCTTGTCCTCACTTCCTCCATCGCCACCATCAGGTTCTGTTTTCACTTCTGCCACGGGTGGTGGAGAGTTTGAGTCTGAAGAACCAGCAATCTGATCTGAACCCGACACAGGACTTTGCTGGAGAGAGGCGGGGTCGCCGTGTTCTGAGGTGCTGGAAGAGACCCGAGACGCGGCCGACGAGTTCTCCCCTGGCTCAGACTTCACCTCCACGGGAGCGACCTTGGACGTAGACGCGCCGTTGTCGAGGCTGGGACTGCCAGGACGGGCCTCTGTGTCCGACTCACTGTCAAGGTCGTCCGAATCTATGTCCATACCAAGCCTGCATGAAAGGAAACCAAAACTGAATTATATATATATACCGTATATTTATAGATCTAAGTAAGTGACAATACAACAATTCATTAACCCATGAAGAAAACAAAACTGTTTGGTTTTTTTTTTTTAAAAGAATGTACTTTTTACCCCCCCATCAACACAATTTAGATCACTTAGGGGGCGGGCTTCCTACCCTGCTTGTAAGGCCAACCCGTGCTGAGAGAGACACAAGATTCCTGAAGAAAAGGCAAGACACTCGATAAAAACTCTCTGCATTCGGGAATCCAATTCGGGTTTCTAGCATGCAACAGCGAGGAGCCTTACTCTGACTGCTACACCACCTGATACCAGCAAGAAAACTGTCCTAAACGTAGCATCTGCGTTTGTAGCCGTGTTTTTGTGCAAAAGTTGCCTCAAAAAGTGACAAAAGTTGCCAAAAAAGTTGCCCCTAAATTTCAAGCTTTCAACTCTCTGTGACGACGTAGCAATACGTTAATAGGGGTAACAATCTCTCAAGCACCAGAATTTCTTGTGCTCTGTTTTAAGCAACCAGAATATCATTTGTAGTCACCCAGAGTGTAAAAACGTGAAAAATAAAGGTTTCACAACAGAATGAAATCAAAATTAGAAGAGCACGGATAAATAACCACAACAAAAAAATTAGGGCGCATGTCCACCTATCCGAAGATTGGCTGTTTTAACCCTAAACATGGGTCATTCTGTCCCCGCAGAATTATGCGATTGTGCGGCCGCATTTTTTCGCATAATTCTGCAACATTTGCATAATTTTGGATTCCTCGCGTTTTTTCACGTTTTCCCCCATTTTTTTTCATAAAACAATTAATTAACGCCTCGCCATGTGACTAAAGGGAAGTAATCACCGTAACAAGTCTCATTTAAGGGACAAGTT